CGCCGCTGCCACCCAGGCACTGGGGTCCTCCCTGCATTCACAGCTTCTATCGAGGAAGTTGTAGGGACCCTGGGAGTCGCCCTAAGAATAACTCCATTTATTTAGATTCCTTCTCAAAGGAGCTTGGTCATGGTGATGGTGATGTAAATGATAATTATAGTCACATTTTATGATCTTTACATAATGTGGTGACTTGTTTCCTAAGCCTCAGAATGCTTCCTCATTCTCCTCATACCTTACCCAGATAAAGACAGGGATAGGAGTGGCCAGGGGTGGCCGAGTGACTTGCTCGAGTCCCAGAGTAAGTTGGGCAGGCTACGCTCCAACTTGCTTTTGAACCATAGTCCTTGATTCTAGACCTTACTGCCCTGGTTAACCAGCTCCGAACACGCTTGATGGAAAGACTGCAATCTGGGGTCTCCTCATTTTTAAGAATTGGTTCTAGCATTTCTTACTCTTTAATCCATCCCCTAAATGTAAAAGAGCCCCTGACCAAGACCCAGTTTAGCCTGAGCTATCCATCATAATCTTCATGTGGCTTAAGATATAAAAGTTTTCAGAGCCCATATTCAAAACTCTAAAAATAGCCCTTTCTTTTTGATCAGGGTAGCATCTGTCCCGGCCACCGGCCTTAGGCTGGAGCTGGCCTGAATTATCTGGCTCCCTCATGCAGCCTTCACCGAAACGGAAGATCCGGTATGAATAATTTAAGCCCCATTCTCTTTCCCCTCTACAGATTTCCCACACCATGCGGGGCAGCATTTCAGCACCCGCAAAGATGTGCTATTCCTGTCTTTGATGGGCGCTGCCTTCTTGGGAAAGTGGCTTTAGGGGCTGCAGAGGAGCCAGGAGGAAGGGCTCGGGCCAGGATGGCTGTGCATCATATGAGCTGGACTGCCCTGCCCTGGGCAGTTCTCTGGGACCGTTTGATGTCTGGCCTCTCCCTCCTCCTGGTCCAGGCTGGACGCACATCATTTGGACGCCTGGTCTTTCATCTTTCCCTCTTCTCTTTGGGGACCACTTTGTGTAGAGCTAGGCTCACTGCATTTCTCCTTTGGAGTTTCCTTCAGCCTTTAGCTGATGAAAGATTTCAAAAGGAAGTTAGACAAGGAAGTGAAAAAATGAAAGGAGAGCAGCAAGGAGCCTCTAGGAGTCATAGAACACTTTTCAACTGCTTTAACCACATTGCTTGCCGCCGAATGGGGGCCTGGGGTTGAGAAATTCCTGCGTGTCTCAGCCACCTTCTTGGTTAAACAGTCAAGTGCTCAATAATTCAGGGGCGGATAGGCCAGGATGTGGGTTACTCAGAATCACTGCTTTGCCGGTGTTCTGTCCTTGGGATGATCTGTCTTTGGTTCTTTCAGTGGGGGTGGGGCATCAGGGAAAAGCAAAGGAAGAAGATTCTAGGCTTTGAGGTTTGCTGTCTGCTAAAGTGCTGTGCTCACACCCCTGGACGTCCAGGTTGGTGTTTCGTCTGGTTAGGACGGGGGACCACATCAGTTGTATCAGTTCTGTTGGGATGGAAGTGAGAGATGGGCAAGGGGGGGTAAGGTGGCGCTGAGGAGGAGGGTATCTAGCACCAGCCCGTCCAGCAGCCCCTCTGTCCCCAGCCTTGCCTCAAGGCCCAGGGGGATGAGAAGGCCTCTAGCTTGTTGACCCCATGAAGCTCAGAAGGGCGAGCCGAGAGGTAGACGTGCACCGTCCTGCAGGCAAGCCCGAGGTCCTGGCTTCCCAGAAGTCCCCGCACCTTCCCCGCACAGCCCTGGGTAGGAGCTTGGTTCCCCCCAGGCAGGCTGAGTCTGGAGGCTGGAAACATCAATTTTCTTAATGGCTCAGCCTGCAGGGTGGGGTAGGCCTTGCTAATGGAGAAGACCGGAGTGTGGTGTGTGGCTCACCGATCAGAACGCTGCCAGTTACTGACCCTTAGACTTTCCTTCTGGTCTTGGAGAATGCCAAGGGGAAGAGCTCTTATGATCGGGCTGGTCGCCAAAGAAGCCAATAAAGCTGAGTATCCCCCATCAATGCCCACATTCACCAGCTTAGAACCTCTGGATAGAGTGATGGACCTGATGTCCTTCAAGTTCCCTTCTACCTGGGGCATCCTCTGACATACACTGCTATTTTCATACTATAATGAAAGCAGGGAGCTTCCAGCCCCCCCTCCCCCCCTGCCATCCCCTGGTCTCCTGCCCCAGTATTCTGACTGGGCCCCATGGGGAGCTCCCTCCTGTACCCACCCAGATCTCTGAGAGCAGCTGCTCTGCACTGACATCCACAGACCAGGGAGAACGGCATGTCCCTTTACCCACATCACCTCCCATGCCTCTGCCTCCCATCCTGCTTGGCGTCCATGTGATGAGGATTCTTGGCGGCAGTTCTAACAGACTGGACTTCACAATTCAGCTCCAGCGCTTACTCGTTCCACATCTCCAGGGCCAGCCTGCTCATCCGCATGGTGGGGTGAACAAGGCCTTCTGGATGGGAGCACTGGCCCGGGAGTCAGACCTGGCTGCTCACTAGACCTATGGTCTCTGGCATATTGTTTAACCCCTCTATGGCCCAACCTCCTCACCTGTAAAACGCACACTGTAAGTGTAAACACTTCATAGGGCTGGGTGAGGATTAAGTGAGCTAAATGCACCAGTGTTTAGATAGCACTTAGTACACAGAAAGTTCATGAGCACTGTCACTTTGCAGGGTGGCTGTTGTAAGGACAGAGGGAGGTGGCTCTCAAAGAGCCGTGCCCATTTGTGTTATAATTGTGCTCTGGGTGAAATGCAGGGGGCTATCCCCCAGGGCTGCAGGGGACCGCTGGTCTTAGAAACTCCTATGGAACCAAGACAAATGGCTTCAAGTGAGAAGGAAGGTCCCCACATCAGGGCCTCTGCCTTCTTTCCTGGGCTGCAGAGGTGAGTCCTGTTTCTTCCACAACAAGATTAGCTGGTGTTAGGCAGGGGCAGCGGTGATGACACAGTCCAGCAGCCTGCCTCTGTGGGCGAGAGGGCTCAGCCTGAAGCCGGGGCCTAGCTGAAGGCCCCACTTCCTAAAGGAGCAGAGCTGAGCAGAGCAAAGGTAGACTTCCTGAGAATGGAGGGATCAGGATCCCTCTGGGCCCAGCGGCACCGGTTCCTGTAAGGGCTGGCACCTCCTCCCAGGCCACATCACGTGCCCAGTCACTCGGCCATGCCCTGTGTCCACTGGGCTCATGCTGATCAGATCAAGGATGTCTAGCAGGCTTACAACGACTCACGCCAGGCCACGTGAGGGATGGTGAGCAGGTGTGGGGCTGGCTCAGGGCACACCTGTCCCACTGCATGAAGGACAGCTCATGCTCTAGTGGCTAGTACCCTGTGGGACTTCACCCCACTGGTGTGCCACCATCCATGTGACCTGCACCCTGGCTCCGGGCTGTCCCTCAGAGCAGAGTTAAAGACTTTTTCTAGGCAGGGGAGGGCCATCCTGCGGAGCCTGTACACAGGCGCTTTTGTATCCAAAGCTGAAAAACTAGGTCACCACTGGTGAGAGTGGCTTCAGGGGACGGCCCCTCCACTGCCTCCTGCTCCCTTGGTTGGATGCACAAGGGAACGGGGAAGCGGGGTGGGGAGAGCACGGCCCTTCGAGGCTTCCTCCTGCGACCTGATTCCATGCAGGCTCAACCTGATTTCTCACTAAGCCTCGGACTGGCTCTGCCTCTGGCCCTTTCCTGCTAAGTCCACGTGTTCTGTAGCCTTCCCTGCTCCCTCTGGGCTTGGTCCTCAAGAGATAAAAAGTGGGGAGGTGTCACCCAGGCACCAGGGAGCCTGCCCTGGCAAACGATCCTTGAGAGCAAGGGAGTGGGTCTGGCTTCAGCCCCTGCCAGTCCCGCCCTGGTTTCCTTTCCTGACACTATGAACCGGCAATGGGTGGACAGCCTTGCCCACTTCAAAGAGCCTGTGCTGCCCACACCACCACCTGTGAAATCCTCTTGCCCAAACAATCAAACCTGCATCTGATCAAGCTTCTAGATTCAGTTGCTTGGAGAACATGTTAAACAAAGTCACAAGGACAGAACCAGCAATTCTAGACTAGGAGAAAGCATAGGAAAGATGATCTGGTTCCTACAACAAATAACTTGTAAGCAAAGAGAGAGAGAAGAGAGAGGTAGGTGGTATTGCTGAGAGACTGAAAGAGACTCAGGAGACAGACTGCCCCATCTTAATCTTTTAAAAAAATTTATTTTTTGAGAGAGAGAGAGAGCACAAGAGTGGCAAGGGCAGAGAAAGAGGGGGTCCCAGGAGCCAACGCAGGCTCTGTGACGACAAGAAAGAGCCTGACCAGGGGCTCGAACCTGTGAACAGTTAGGTCATGACCTGAGCTGAAGTCAGATGCTAAATCGACTGAGCCACCCAGGCGTCCCCGCCCAATCTTAATCTTAATACAGGGTTCAATTTAGGTTTTGGTTCAAACAAACTGAAGAGTAAAAAAAGAGAGAGAGAGAGAGAATAGTTTCTGAGTCAACTGGGGAAATTTGAAACGGCCTGGTTATTTCATGTTATTAAGGAATGACTAATAATTGTTTTTAGGTATGATAAAGGTATTGTCATGTTTTCTAAAGAAGAATCCTTCAGTTCTAGGGGGATGCAGTGAAATACTACAGATGACACGGTATCTGGGAGCCGAGTGGGGCGGGGAGGCAGGAAGTAGGAAGGAAACAAATTGAGGAGAAGGTAGTTGTTGAGTCTGGGTAATGGGCCAGGGGGTCCATTATCACATTATTTTCATTTCTGCATATTTTTTAGAAGCACCATATGATGAAATCTGGAAGGAGGAGGAGGAGGGAGGAAAGGCAGAAAGGAGGGGAAGCAGCCGCAGCACCAAGACCGGCCTAGGTGCTAAGAGCCTGGGGACTTCCGCCAACTTCCGGAGGGCGGCCATCTTTCTCCAGGGGCCTCTACCGTGTGGGCGGGGCATCCTCAGTATAGGAGCCGGATGATGGGACGGCGTGGGGGCTGGGCACTCACTGTGGAGAGGCAGCTCCTGTCCTCCCGGATGATGGCGCAGAAGCCCAGGAAGCCCGTCACCATGACAAGGGCCCCTGCGAAGATGAGGATGTAGGCGGAAGCAGCGAAGGTGCTGGAGGCCAGGACGCTGAGGTAGCCGCTCTTCTCCACCAGGGTCCAGACGCCCACGGCCATGACGGCAGCCCCGCCCACCTGCAGGAAAGTCCAGGTCAGGGCAGGTGGCCGCCGTGGGCTCCACAGCTGCCACCAATAGGGGCCCTATCATGTTCGAGGCACTTTTTAATCACCATGTCATTGAGTCCTTCCAAGAGCCTGAGAGAATAGTTTGGTTACCCATTTCACAGATGAAGAAACCATGGGGCCGAGAGGTTAAGAGACTCGTCCACGGTCACACACCTAAGCAACTTGCAGGAACAGATTTTGAATCCGAGTCTGACTCCCAATTTTGTACTTCTTACCGCAATGCCCATTGTGTCCCCATCAGATGTGGGGGAGATGGCTGTAATTATGGGACAACCAATGTGTCTGGGTCCCTTCACTTCCCCGATTCTCAGTTACCCCGTGTCCCTCCTCCGTCAGGGCTCCTTGGGCTTGTCCACATTTCCCAGGAGGGCGCTTTCCCATGTGCCCCACGTCAGCCTTCTGTGCGCCCATGGGGGGAGCACCCTGGGGCTTCTCATCTCATTGCTTCTCATCTACAGGTGACAAAACTGGGCCCACAGAGGAAAGGTCAGTTGCCAGAGGCCCTGCCTCTGGTTAGGGGCAGTAAGGGGCAGCGACAGGGCCAGGATGCGAGCAATGAGGCTGGTGGCTGAGTCACTGTGCCTCCACCACCGACTGGACGCATCCTCCACAAGCTGGGGTTGGCCTGGGCCAGCAGGAGGACTGGGCAACATTTCTTCTTTGCGAACTGTCCCATTCCCTTCTGGCCCTGAGAAGGGAACAGGGACTGGACACTGCTGACGGGCAGGTCAGGCAGATGCCTCCCTAGGAAGGGTACCTGGGAAATACAGCTGGGGTGGCTCTCACTGGGTTCTTTCTACACAGAGGCTGAATACCCTTCCCGTGACTTGTATGTGTGTGCATGTGTGTCCCCAGGGTGCCAGATAGGGCGGTATTAGGGTACTGGTGGGGGACAGGGCCCCTGGGACCTCTGACCATGTCTGCTTTCTGCTCCTGGGAAGGCAGACTTCCGTCTGGCCCCTAGTCTCCCCGCCCCATTTAATAGCGTGTTCTCCTCCTCAGATGGGCGGGGAGTCAAAAGCTAGACAAGGCCCACTGGCTCCGTCCATGCCTGCTTGTCCTGCAAGGTGCTGGCATCTGCCCCGGAGCAGCTCCGCAGCACCCGCCCTGCCCTTCACAGTGCCTTTTCTCGGGAGTCACAGACGTCAGTGGAGCAAATGGAAGGTGGTTCTCGGCAATTGGCATGCAGGAGGTGCACACACCACTCCGTTGACCATCCTCCCCTCTGAGCTTTGCAGCAGTTCAGTGGGGATAGGGCAGCAGGGTGGGGGTGGGGGGTACAAATGATCTCTGTTTTGCAGATGAAGAAACTGAGAGAATAAGAACGTGCTCAAGATAACACCACTGGAAAGTTGCAGAACTGAGATTCGAACCCAGGTTTTCTGAGGGCCAGTCTGGGATTCTGTCCTCAGATTCCACAGACTGGGCTGGGCCCTGCTGTACTACTCACTTTGCTTTTAAAATACGCCTGTTTTGGGGTACCTGGGTAGCTCAGTCGGTTAAGCGTCCGACTTCGGCTCGGGTCATGATCTCACGGTTCGTGGGTTTGAACCCTGCATTGGGCTCTGTGCTGACAGCTAGCTCGGAGCCTGGAGCCTGTTTCAGATTCTGTGTCTCCCTCTCTCTCTGACCCTCTCCCCTGTTCACGCTGTCTCTCTCTCTCTCTCAGAAATAAATTTAAAAAAAAAAAAACATTTAAAATACGCCCGTTTTCTTCCAAGCATCATTTTCTCCTCCTCAGCATCTCCAGGAGGTAAGAGAAACAGGTAGAAGAACATCACACAGCTGTGCCACTCCAAATGGAATGGGAGAGGCTAACATGCCCCATTTCCTCAATTCCACAATGCACAGCCCTACCCACCCCCATTTTAACATCTCAACAATTGAGATGCATCTTATGATTAATGGTGTCTTCCGATTATACTTGGCAGCACTTTTTCTCAGTGGTACAGAAAACAATGGTGTACCTCACAGTTGATGGTATCTTAGAGTCAATGAAATCCTGGGCTACAATAGGTTTTTAAATTCTCTGTGCATGTAGGCTATCTGGCCCATACAACCACCATGACCAATGAGGAAATTTCCTGAGTCTGGGTCAATGGAGTTGTGTCAAGTGAGGGTTTCCAGCAAAATATCCTGCACATATTCTTTCTGCCCCCTACAGCATGACTGAAACGCTTGGGTGAGGGTCCCAGCTTTGTATAACTAGCTGTGTGACCTAAAGATAGTCCCTTAACCTCTCTGGGCCTGAGTTTCTTCATATCTCAAATAAGGGGGTTGTATAAGACTAGTGGTTACCAGGCTATAACCACCAAAGACTCCGTTGATTACTTTTTCCTGTGGATCTTACATTTTGAAGGCTTTTGCCTTCCAAACACGGTGCGTTAATCAAGTAATAATTCATTTCTCATTTTTTATTAATCAAAGGCACATGATAGTGCCAGGAAGAGATTCTGAGCAGCATGAGATAGTCAATGTGACCACTTTGCACTGATCTTTTAATGGGTGTAGTCTCTTTATAGAAATATACACACTATCCATTATCCATAAGGTTTGTCAACCCCACAGGCTGACAATCATATTTGGGACCACACATCTGGGCACCTTTGGGCTTGACTAGAGACCCTGTACTGTTGCGGGACACGGAACCCACTGGAAATCTGATAAAAGGCTTTGGACATTTTGGCCAGAGAAATGGTAATTCATGTAAAATAACGTATTCAGGTTTGGGGGCTGATGTCTATCTTGTAGCAGGCAATGAGACGTGGAGTAGACGGTCTCTAAGGCCTCCTCCACCTACACACCCAGATAAGGTGGCACTTCTCAGCCTGGCTGCACAATCACTTGGGAGTTCCACAAAATGCAAGTCACACCCCAGGCTAAATGGTATCTCTGGGAGTGGGATCCATGCATGACTATTTTATTAAGTTCCCAGGTGGTTGGGGGAGAAGCACTTTGTAGGTTTCCTATTTAATGGAGGGTCAGAGTGTCCTGTCCCTCTCACCCAGTAGGTGGCACTGTGCTGAATCCATCGAATAGAATATGCTGCTTCTTGGAAGCTTTGGGCCCCACCCCTGGGCCTAGCTGCCTGGAGAGCTCTTGACATTTGTTCTGGACTTGAACTCCATCCTCTTCCTTGTGTGAGGGTGGTTGCTTCAGTAGAAGCTTTAAGGCTGAAGGAGGGGTGGTGAGGAGCAGAGTTTTCAATCTGAAGGGATTAAAGTCCTATTATGAAAAAATGAAAAAAAAAACAAAAAACCCCATGGGGTTCCCAGGAGAAGGAGTAGGGGGCTCTAAGAAATGCAGCCCTGGGAAACAAGCAATATCGATCCCACTAATGGAGGGTGGCTCTCTTCCAGAGCTCTTCTTGCCAGTCACAGAAAGGGCTGGAATCTTGCAAAGCAGGGAGAGCCCACAAGGGAGCCAGGGTGGCAGGAGGGTCCTCAGCCATAAGGGAGGGTCTGGAAGCCATCTGAAGGGACCCACTGCCCTGACTAAGGTCTGGAAAGCAAATGCATACTCGTTCTGACATCCAGAAGAAATAAGAATGTGATTCTGAGTCAGTGGGGACACTAACCCCCTCCCCACCCTCTGAAGGGTCACATCTGGTGGAGAAGTTAGTGTCTGCAGGGGACAGCGAGAGGGATTTGCCATCAGGAAAAAGCAGGTTTCAAGTCCTCCAGGGCATCTCCTGCTTGGGGCTTGGTCAGCTCTTGAGAAAACAATCTTGCATCTGGACAGAAAAGTAAAAGCTGCTAAATGTTGGAGGAGGTCCCCAGAGGAGTACTGGGAAGTCAGCAGACCTGGGTTCCAGTCCTGGCTTTGCCTCTGACAAACCATGTGACTGGGTACCAGCTACTTCACTTGGCAAAGCCTCAGTTTCTTCATCTGTAAAATGGCACTGCTCGATAAGAAGATCTTTGAGGTCTCTTCCACATGGATACAATGTCCCTGTTAGTACCAGAGGACAACCTTCTGCCAATACTCCTCCAGCAAGATGCTTCTGGACCAGTGGCTCATGGCTATTACTCAAATCCTGGGGAGACTCCTATATCAGCAGGAAGAGCAATGGAAGGGGAACAAAGAGGACTGTCTGGGGGACAGGGAGAGGTGTGACCCCAGTGAGCTATTTCAACAGCTATTTGCATGGAGTTGATTCAACAGTATTTGGCTCTTTACAGAAACTGCGGAATATTAACTACGTTTTTCAAAAGCAAAGCCTGTAGCTGATTAGCTAGAAAATCCTGCAGAGGGTGAAGCCTTCTTGCCCATGAGGTCACTGGCAGTCCAGGAGGGGCAAGGCAGGTCACCCATGCCTTGTAATTTTAGAAACTTCCCATTTATAGAAAAGAAACATTGCCAAAAAGTTGCTCAGGTCATCACATACGCAGAAGGATTAGCCTGAGTGACTGCACATGGCTGAGCCCTGACATCTGCCAGAGGGCGTAAAAGTAATTGCGGGGTTATCTTTGCCAGGCTACCGAAGGGTTTCTGTGCTGGCATCTGGGGGAAACGCTGAGGGGCCAGGACTGTGGGGCTCCCAAAAGAGAAGGGTCCCCCAGGCAGGAAGGTTTTCTGCCTTCAGTGGGAGGGAAGCCCATGGAACGGGGAGGCAGGACGCACACGGGGTAGCCTTACAGTTTGTTTCTGTGTATGTTTGATGGGCGCCAGCTTTTTGAGCTGGAGGCGCGTTCACCCATGTAGAAGCCACACCCGCCCTCTCCACTCTTTCTTCTCTGGCCAGTCTCATCAATGCACCACCACCCACCCAGACCAGAACCCACCCCCCCCAACACACACACACACACTCACCCTGGGTCACTATGGACTCCTCCCTCTCCTCCCAGGGAAGCCACGTGCCAGTCCCCACTCGTTCTCGCATCCAGCTCGTGCACCGCCCTGGCTTTGGCTCCCCACCTCCTCACCCGTGTATCATCAGCCTTCCGGCC